GCACAAACCATTTGAGTTACAGTAGTAATCACAATGCTTAAGTGATCTTTTGTGCTTTCACACCTTCATAATCTCAGGGGTAAGGCATGCAGTAAAACTTTTCTCTCTCCACTCTTGCTGGATCTTTTTAAAAGGATCATGCAGATTTCTTCTGCAAGAGCTACCGAGTTTCACCCTGCAAGAGGATGGAAGTGGTGGAGGGACCAGGGAGTTAAACATGAGTTTCTGACACAGGCTTCAAAAAGTTGAAATGTTCTAAATTAAAAAAGCAGTAAAGAAAATATCGAACATAAAATAGTTAGCTGCATTTTTATTGAATATGCAGGAAAACAAGAATTTAGAAAGGGCTATCTATATTTTTTATTTATTCTTAACTCTCAAAATGCTTAAGGTGTTAATGGCTAATGAGCAAGTCCTGCACTTAGTTTCCTAAGTTCTTAATAAATCTGTTTTATCAGTTATTTTTATTCTGCAAATTCCAGCAATGTACTGTTGAGACTATTGAAATACTAGAATACATAATTGATAGTTCCTTATAGAGAAAAGCATTGTAAAATGTTATTTGCGTTACTATTTTCTAATTATTATACTTCAACTGCACATTTTTAGGAAAATCAAGGAACATAAACATATATCAATATATCATTAATATTCCTTGATTTGGTAGAAATACATTTAGCATCTATGAAAACTACAAAGGTTTGCCTTTGATTTAAATTGTCTGGTTTATAAGGAAGTTGGGCATTATCTTGAACATCATACAAAGTCAGTATTGTTCCTACCTGGTTTTATGCAGACACAGTTCTTCTTACACTGCAGAAATGGTACATTGGTTTTGTCTCTTTGTTTAGTTTGAAATCAGTAGCTCAAACCCAGCTTCTCTTTCTGAGGACATTGAAGCTTGCTGTACAAGTCTTCGTATTGTTCAAATCTTAATGCTGCTTAAAAACCTGGGCTATATCCTACCATCCCAATAGCATATGTGTACGTATGTGTTCCTGTCTTTTCATGGTAGGACAATGGTTGAGATATTAGTGATAAATATCTTCCACTCTGATTATTTTAACTGAGCAGGGAGACTGAATCTGCTTGAGCACAAACTGATTTCATAATATCCATGATTTTCTTGTATCTGCTTGAGAATACCTGTGAAGGAGTAACTTAAAAAAAGGACACATAAAACTACACGGGAATAAACTTGCTTTCAAAAGAAAACAAAAATAAATAAAATACTGTCACCCCCAAGTTTAAAAACTGTGGAGCCTATTCAATTTTCATTTACTCCCAATACATTTATTTGACCCTCTAGAAGAACAATAGAACTACTTTTTCAACATTCTGGGTATTTCTTCTTCTCACTCTGTTACAAAGACAGTTAATTTTTCTCAATGAGTGGCAAAGGCACTTTTAGCAGACATCTCTGTCTGCAAGAGCTGGAAGCAGGCATTCATCTTAGGCTTTTATGGTGTTTAGTCCAACTCCTTAATCTTTTTTTCGTATTACTTTTAGGAGCTTCTGATTATTAAGAAGTGTTGTTTACTGAGCTAGCATGTATGATGCCTTGGGTTTACGGGGTTCAAAATACCATGTTTTTATGAAACTTGGAATCAAACTTGTAATTTCCTTTTTGCTTTCAACTCATATTCACCATTCTCGTCAAAACTGTCATCTTGGTGCCTTTTTCATCAAAACTGTCATCTTGGAGCCTGGAAACCATAATAATGACCCATTTCATATGAGAGTTTTGGGTGAGCTAGCACGCTGTTGAAGTTCTTCGGTGCTGTAGTGCATCTTTTCTTCTGGCTGTCATCCTTCTCCAAGCCTGAAGGAAATGCAAGTGGTCCGGATTGCAGTCCTATTTTCCTTACAGCACTACTGGCCAAGACAGCTTGTTTGCATGGGTTTGTTTTTTTTCAGCTGACATCCACCATCTGGTTTCCACTGTCACCCTGCCATCTTTGAAAATTGTAGTAAATGCAAGTTATGAGTCTAGATACCACTTTGAATTAAAGGCACACCTCAAAGGACATCTGGAGTCGGTTCCAGATCACCGCTGCTATGCTTTTGTTCTACTGCCTGGTTTGAAAGGACAGCCCTGTTATTAGGGCTTCTCTTATATTCACAGTGTGGATTATACCGTTGCTTTGGTGAAGCATGTTACATTTTTCCATGCTGTTTTAGAGAACTCTACACACCTTCACACTGCCGATGCTGGGCATCTCTTTCTTCTCATTGCACCTGGTCTCTTCATGAGTCAGAAAAATGTGACTGCTCACGTTCATCCTGGATCTTGGATATTTTGTCTTAGAACTGGGGAAGGACGGTTCAGAGGGCTCTCCAAGGGCTCTAGCGGCTTTGCCAGGGGAAGGTGTCCTTCTGTACTTTGTTGATGCGGCACTATCAATCACAATTACAGAAATGATGCATGTTTTTTAAAGCAGAAAAAATAATTCAGATTTTGTCTTTTGGCTTGGGGCCAAGCGTTCGGAAGATGTCTGGCAGCACTATATTTTAATGAGAATGGGTGTGCATGCATTTCTTTATCTGGAATATTGACTTGTTGGAGATGGTATTTTGGAAGAGATTCAAAAATCATATTCTGGCAATTCAGTCTGGTGCTGGAGACAGGATTGTCGCAGACTGCAATTGTAAATACCATATTAGCTGCTGTCCAATTCAGGACTCTTTACACCAGTTCCTACCGTGTCTTTCTGTCAGGGAGGTTTTACCGAAGCTCGGGGGTATTTATGTTTTCTACCAAAGTCTGGCTGCTCATCGGCTCTTCAACTCCCAAACTTCTCAAGTCTGGATTCCAATAAGGACGCATTTTCTTCCTTGTGCTCAGAATCCATCAACTTTTTTTTTTTCCTTCAGTAGGAGTTAATGGCCTCATTAATCTGGGGAAAAAGCAAGTGTCAAATGCCCTCTGGACCTCTCAGGTTAGATCTCCAGAGGTGGTGTTTGACGGAGGTTAGAAAACAGAGCAGTGTTTGACAAAAACCTAGCAACAATCTTACAAGTTTGAGATTTGCTTCACACCACGTACTCTTCCATGTAGTCATTTACCTGAGTGGAATGGAAAATAGGATTATAAATGAATTAGAAACAGAGATTAGGTCCACTGGAAAATACCAAAATTAGATTTTATATTAATGAGAACACTATATATAGAACAGTTTCCTCATCCCTGAATCAAAAATACATCCATGTGCTGCTTAATAGATTGAATGTGATTTCTACTAGTGAGGAAAGCCTTTCCTAGCCACCAAGGAAATAGCTTGTATATCTGGCTTTCCCCTATTGCAGGGGGAAAGAGTTTAAAAAAAAATATTGCCTGGAATGAACTCATGGCTTAGAAAGTCCAATATCAGACTTCTCCTGCTAAATTGATGGTAGCCTGTTTTTACCTATGTGACAGTAAGATTTTATGTGGAAGGCCATTTACAAGTGGGAGGAATAGCCACGTGAAGATACTGAGGTACTACCTAGTCTGTCTTAAACTAGGTGACAACTAGAGAGACTAACCTTAAGTGTGTCTCAAAGTGCAGTGACAGCATTATGGTTCAGTGAACAATTCTTCTTAGCCAACATCATTTAAGAAGCCCTGTGTATTTTTAACTGTACCTTCTATGTACCTTTTTGAGTTGTCATAACATTAAAGTACTTGAAAAATGGTATTTTAAATTGTAAGTGATGTAGAAATTTGGTTCTGTTCTTGACAATTAACAGTGTAGTTACACATCAGTTTTCAAATAGTGTTTGTTTAGAAAAATGATAATTGATGCTTTCTGATAAGCTGTACCTTCTCGTCTCTGTCCTATGAGCTATATTTGCAGGGCAGTAGAGAATGGAAAATTATTTTATTGTGTTAAAACCATAGTAAAATACATTTATAATTATACAGTTTTGTATATATGCAGTATATAATTTTAATATTCAAATGTTCTCTAATGAATTTCAATAAATAAAGTAGAAAGGTGTAATTCAAGGCAATTGCCCTTGCTTTAATTCTCCTTATGTCCTCTCACATGTTTTTTTTGTATGGCCACTGTCAATTCAAGACTCTTGCCTTAAGTAAAAGACACAGAATAATCTATTTTACATTTCAGCTTTGGTAGAGGGGTATAAAGGCACCCAAATCAACTTTATTATTCTCCCACTTTTTCTGTGTAACCCCCTCATAATAAATTTATCCAACTGGTCTTTCTTTTCACACCAAGTGATGGATATGACTAGACCATCCCAATTTACATTTTCTTCTTTATAAATTATAAATTGTTGGGGATTGTGGGGTGTTGAATGTGTTGACCATAATGTATTTTTCTCTTGACATTGTATCATGGGCATCATTATGATATGTAATCAGCATCATTGGGTTTTTTTCTCCAGGAGTCCAAAATAATGCTTTAAATAATAATACTTCTAAACCCCATTAATGGAATAGAGCTGGAAATAGAAGAACATATGGTTCACATCTACATTTAGATCATAGAATAATAGAATGGTTTGGTTTGGAGGGGTCCTTAAAGATCATCTAGGTCCAACCCCCCTGCCATGGGCAAGGAATCATGTACTCACGTCTTTCACGCAGCATCATTCCTGTCTCCCATTGAGCCTTTTTCCTAGTAGTTAATTTCTTACTGGTCTATGGCTAGTATAGTAAGTTACGGTTGCTTTTAGGTTTATGCTAATAAATATGTGAAGAATGAAATCCTGTTTCATCACACTCAGAAATTTAAGGGAAGTACAAGTATGTGGTTAAATAGTGTATGGTTGAATAGTTTCCAGTGATATGTGTCACAGCCTGTAGTATCTGAAGTAGCTGATGGCAGATTCATTCATATTATGGAAGTACTAAAGTCTGGATGCTGAAAACATTTTCTTTCCTCTGCATGGGTATCAAACGTTAATTTCTGGATTAATCTAGTTACTTTAAAACCTTGAGGATTGTCTCCCAACAGGCAGTGTACTATTAATGGTTCTGTTCTTTTGTGTTACAGGGGGTTCAGGACAGTCATCATCAATAGCCATAGCTGGCACCAGCCAACCTGCCATCACAAAGACAACATCTGTGCTTCAAGATGGTGTTATAGTCACTACTGCAGCTGGAAATCCACTTCAGAGCCAGCTGCCCATTGGGAGCGATTTCCCTTTTGCTGGCCATGAACACTCACTTCATTTTCCGCAGAACAGCTCTTCAAACAACAATCTTCCACATTCTTTGAATCAAAACCTCCTCAATTCTCTGCCTATCTCTTTGCCAGTGAATCAGCAACATCTCCTAAACCAGAATCTATTAAATATACTACAGCCTTCAGCAGGAGAAGGCAAGTCTGAGGTCAACCTCAACCCTTTAGGTTTTCTCAACCCGAATGTAAATGCTGCTTTAGCTTTTCTCTCCAGTGACGTGGATGGGCAGGTATTACAACCTGTTCATTTTCAGCTTCTAGCAACCCTCCTTCAGAACCAAGCCCAAGCAGCTGCCATGCTTCCCCTACCATCTTTCAATTTGACCATCTCAGATTTGTTGCAGCAGCAAAATAACCCTTTGCCCTCAGTAACACAGATGACAGCCCCACCTGACCATTTGCCAAGCAATCAGTCAGAAAGCAACAGGGTGGAAACCCTTTTAACCAACCCCCTGGGCAACCCCATACCAAGCTTTTCAGGCACTGACACTACTTCTAACCCCTTGCTCCTCCCAGCTGTCTCTGGGGCCTCAGCGTTAATGGCCTTGAATCCCCAGCTGGTGGGAGGTGTCCTGAACTCTGCATCGGGCAGCACTGCTAATCATCCAGAGGTTTCCATAGCCACCTCCTCCCAGGCAACCACTACCACAACCACTACATCATCAGCAGTGGCAGCACTGTCTGTCTCAACCCTGGGTGGTGGGACAGCAGTGGTGTCAATGGCAGAAACATTGCTGAACATATCTAATAATGCTGGGAATACATCTGGTCCAGCTAAACTCAACAATAACTCTGTGGTGCCACAGCTACTTAACCCTCTACTGGGGACAGGTCTGCTTGGTAAGTTCAATTTCTTAACAGATATAAAAGAAAAACAAAAAAAAAGAGGGTTGGGGAGGGGGAATTTTGGATTCTAGCTTCTATTTCTAAAGACTCCACTTTACCATAATTTTTTAAGGTTTTTGTATGTTACAGCTTGTTTATTACTATGGAGAGAAATGTAAGAAATTTAAAATACATTCTGATTTAATTAAGTAAAATTTAATACTGGTTTTGGAAATTATTTTAGATTCCATTTTTCATTCTGATGCCACCTAAGCCTACTATATACACTTTAAAATTCTGCAAGCAATTGGACTTGCTTCATTTTTCAAGTAGTAAAAGCACAGGTGCATCTCTGGGATGCAGTGTTTCATTTCAAGTGCATGTGGCATCACAGGGTTAATATGAGTAGCTGTGCAGTAGATGAAAAATGGTGAAGTACTTTTCTCCAAATGAATCAAAAGTGCCAAAACCACAAGCACACTCCCATGTAAAGTAATCCTTAAAGCACTTGAAGTAGGTCCTCATGCAAGTTCGAAGAGGAAAGTTGCCCTTCGAGCCCTTTATTGTATGTTTATATTTTCTCTCTCTGTTGTTTTGTTTTTTTTTTTCACTTTCGTTTGTAATTTAAAAAAACAGGGTATCTTATTTGCCAAACACCTACATCCCAACACAACTGATTAAAAAGCCCTTAAATATAATTTTTTTCTCCTGGGTCTTGATTTTACCAAGAATATTTAATATAGTTAGTACTCCTTTGTTGCTTGGTCTGTGTTATTTAATAAATAGACTAGTAGAAGGAACTAAATAGTGGCAAAGAGCTGATAAATGTTTTAACTTAATACCTCATACTTGCCTACTAAATGGCTATCATGAACTCAACCCTGCTTTATATTTTCCATGTAAAATCTGACTAAAATGATGCTGCAGATGGAAATTTTAAGAAAAATGAGAGCTTTTAATTAAAAAAAAAGAAACTGAACAAATTGATATATTTTTAAGTTTTGTTATTTCATAAAGTCAGGTTCAACTGTGTATTTATTTTACTAGAACTAGAATTTTCATGTAAAGTGGGATTTTTTTTTTTTTCTCTCTTCTGCTGCCCCACTCTTTGGAAACTAAGAATAAGATTCCAAGACAGCAAATATCATAGAAGCTCATTGTGCCATACTTGGCTGTGTGCTATTCCAAAGGCAAAAACCTTTAGAAAGAGTCCAGATAGATGTGACATGCAAAAGAAGCAATTCTGAAGAAATAGAGGAATAAAGAGTAGGAGATTCATGCCTTGAGGACCATTCTATAGAAGATTGAAGGGAAAGAGTGTTGTTTCACAAAAGCATTTTTTTAGCTGTCAGTTAAAATTTGAGTCAAGGAAATTCCTCCTGACTATTGAAAACTGTACTGACTTAACGTTTCCCTGTGTTTGAATTACAGGTGACATGTCATCTATAAACACTACTTTGAGTAACCATCAGCTGAGTCATCTCCAGTCGCTATTAAACAACAATCAGATGTTTCCTTCAAATCAGCAGCAACAGCACCTTCTCCAGGGGTATCAGAACATGCAGGGCTTTCAAGGCCAGACCCCAATTCCTGGCCCAGCTAACAACCCAAACCCCATGGCATGTCTGTTCCAAAACTTCCAGGTAGAAAGCAAAATGAAATCAATTTTCAAACAAATGTGCAACTCTCAGTAGGTAAAACTATATGCTCCATAGTTAGATTTTTATTTTTTGCTGAGTGTTTAAGACAATATGATATATACAGTTGCTTGCCTGTCTGTGTAGGTTTTGGATTTTGCAAATCAGGAACATTTGTTACGGAAATTTTACTCCTTTTTCCTTAGAAAATGGGTATGGTTTCTTTGGAAAGAGTTATGCAGCATGTATTGAAAAAATATGCTATGTATGTTCTTGTCAATTAGTATATGTTATTAGCAAAACTATTTTCCATTCTGAAGAAATTATTATAATTCCTGTTTAGGTCACTCTTACAATTCAGTGGTGAGAAATAAATACTGATACCACTTTACAGCAATTAGAAACTTAATAAATTATTATAGGTGTGTACCAGTCCTCTTATATTCCCTTGAATGGGGAAGAGCTAGCTGTAATGTGGACGGTACAGACTGAAGAAAACAGATGTTAGAATGAATGTGCAATGACAAAACTGTGCAAAAATGTTTATTTTGTTATTATTTGTTGGAACTGTTATACACAGTTATTATGTAAATGCTGTTTAGCTAAATAGACAGTTCTTCATAATGCAAGTTGAGCTATCAAGCCAGCATACTGACAGGAAGATAGCAAGCAAAATAGCTGATAAAACCAGAGTTAAAATACGTATTTGTTATTATTCAGTATTTTTGTGGTTGCTGCATAACTCAAGATGTGAAGTCAGGATCGTGCATATAGTGCCAGACAGCGCTTTTACCCTTTAAGAGAGAAAAAAGAAGACATTGTTTTCTCAGTGTAGATGTTTCACTCCTATTGCAAAATCAGAGTCCTCTAACTGCCTATTAAATCTCTTCAGTTTTGTATGAATTTTGGCTTTATCTCAGTATTTTTTGCTTCAGATTCTCAGTTATATAAATAGTAGCAGTAAGTATTTAAAGGGGCTTTTAGAAACATTTTACCCTTGTTTTTTACATTTTTGTTATAGCACTATTCTTGTCATTCTCTTCACTGCCTACATATGTGACAAGAAATATAAAAAGCACAGTTACTTTAATCTGAAGGTTACAATTTACACTGGCAGTGCCTGACATTACAGCCACAAATGCATAGGGATGCAGGCACAATTTACAAGGGACTGAAGTAGTAAGAGATCCCACGAGGGAAGCACTTAACCAAAGGGGAAAAAATAGAAATGTTAGCCAGTTCTGAAAGGACAGTTATGGCCTACATTCCAGTGATTGAATGAGGAGCATACAAGAAGCCTAGAAGAGCAGCTGGTATGGAGAAAAGAAGCAAAATTAGGGTGTGGGAAGTAATGAAAGAGAATAGTTGAGAATAGAAATATTGACCTTTGTGGAGGTGTTTAGGACTTGAGAGAAAGGAGGGTGCTGTACTTCAATCAGAAGAGAAAATCCCTGAAAAGACTCTGAATGAGAGGATAATGCAGTCTTAGCTGTGGATGATAGGTTGTATCATTTCGTGCAAGGCATCTGTTTTGATCCAGGAGGCAAATTCTAAGAGCCAGTGTTTTTGTTTTCCTCTAAATTAAGCTTTTGTTTTCTGTCCATCGTGTTCAGCACTGAACTTCGTAACTGATGCATAGCCAAAATAAAAGTATGTACTGTAACAGTGACCCTGGCCACCATCCTGATTTGTTTATCAAAATGAAACCAAATTTTACTGTTGAAATGTAATTTTAGGCAGAATAGCAATTTCTTTTTCCGGCTTTTTCCAGGTAAGAATGCAGGAGGATGCTGCTGTCCTGAACAAAAGAATGATCACTCAAATGGGAATGGCACCAGTTCCTGACAGCTCCAACACTATGCTTCCTCCTTTCCAAGAAACATCTTGTGATTTGCAGCAAAGAAATGAACCTTCTCTTGGACAACAAGCAAAAGATAACCTCAATGTTGCTGCTCAGGGTGATACATCGGTGGACACAATCTACAAAGCAGTTGTAGATGCTGCAAGCAAAGGGATGCAAGTAGTAATCACCACTGCCGTTAGCAGTACAACACAGATGAGTCCCATTCCAGCTTTGAGTGCCATGAGTGCCTTCACAGCCTCAATTGGTGACCCGTTAAATCTTTCTAGTGCTGTCAGTGCAGTAATCCATGGAAGAAACATTGCCGTTTCTGATCATGAAGGTAGGATAAGGAGCACTAGAGGAACACGAATACTGAAGAATTCAGAGCATGGTAAAAATTCAAGTGAAGGGGATGGGTATGAATATTACAAATCATCAAGTTGTAACACACCCAAAAAACAGTGGGAAGGGGAGCAAAGTCCTGTCAATGAGGTAAATAGGTGGAAATGTGATGAGTTTCTAGACCACTCTACCCATATCCATAGTAGTCCTTGTCATGAAAGGCCCAATAACATCTCCACATTGCCATTATTGCAAGGCGAGCAGCATCAGATACTGTTATCACAGCGAAACTGTCAAAGTGATAAAATGTTGGAGGAGAATTTCAGGTATAACAATTACAAAAGAACTATGATGAGTTTTAAGGAAAGACTGGAGAACACTGTGGAACGATGTGCACACATAAACGGAAATAGGCCTCAGCAGAACAGAGGATTTGGGGAGTTGCTGAACACTTCTAAACAAGATTTGATTCTGGAAGAGCAATCTCCAAGTTCCTCAAATAGCTTGGAAAGTTCGTTAGTTAAAGACTATATCCATTACAATGGAGATTTTAATGCCAAAAGCATTAATGGGTGTGTGCCTAGCCCTTCAGATGCTAAAAGCATCAGTAGTGAAGATGACCTAAGGAACCCAGATTCCCCTTCTTCAAATGAGCTGATACATTACAGGCCGAGGACGTTTAATGTTGGCGACTTGGTCTGGGGCCAAATCAAAGGACTGACTTCATGGCCTGGAAAGCTAGTAAGAGAAGAAGAGGTTCACAATTCATGTCAACAAAACGCTGAGGAGGGGAAGGTATATTTATATATATATGCACATATTTATCTTTCTATATACACATGTAGATATGCCCATACAAATGTTTATCAAAACTATCTGAGGCCATTCTTTATTCTTCGTCTCTCATTTTAGTAGGACAGTTTGCTTTTTTCCCATAATTCTAGCTTGCAGAACTGCATTTTCCCCTTAGTTATCTAACAAGAAACTTCCACCAATGCCATGAATCAGATTGTATTTTAGCCTGATTATGCTAATTTACACACACAAGATTTGGTACACAAAAAATGTTAACAAAAAATTGTTTAACTTACATGGTGTGGTGAGTCAGATTTCTGGTTGGGTTCAATGAAGCTGATATGAAAGTATAAACGCATTGAAAACTGCAAAAGGGAAAAGTGATTTAATCCGATTGAAGAGTCTATAAAAAGTAGAAGCTTGTTGATTGACACATACACTCTTTAAGAGGAAATACATGTGCGTTTTCACCTTGAAAGGAGGTTTTGGGCATCTTTTAATAGTAAGGAAAGCATTCCATTTTCTTCTTTCATACTAAATGATTTGGTTTCTTCTTTTTTGTTTTTATTTTCTGACAAATCACATGCTTGTTGGGGAATATACCAAAAATACAGTTACCAAGGCGTTATTGGTTATTTTGTTACGATAAATATTTCAAATTCTCGTCTCTAGTACTTGTAAAACACTATATTTTTGTAGTTCTTAGAAATATTTCTAGATAGAAGATGTGAAATATTTTATAAGTGCTGCTTTATAAAGTGTAAATTTTAAAAACATGTAAGCAGAAGGGAAAGACCTAGTGAAATAGCTTTTTACCTCTGACGCAAAGAAATCAAGCCATATGTCTTTTTTCCCCCTGTAACTACACTGCATGACAACAGTCATCATAATGGCGATAGTAGGTTGGACCCAAGTATTCCTACCCAAAATCGGACTAACAGTAGATATCCAAATGAAGGAGAATGCAAGAGGATGTTGGGAAGTGCTTCTTCACTCTGACTCCCACCAGTGCAAAGCTCAGGAACAACTTGAGTTGGAGCTGGTGTATCTTTGTTGTAACCACTGCTGGTCTTACCATCTTTGCTGATGTGCAAATGTAATTTCCCCAAACAGTCCCATAGATCTTTGATGAATTTGGTACTATAAATAACTGGGGTGATGATTGGCCAGAATGGTTTCAACCCTCTTCCAAGAAAATTTTAGTCTCTCTTTACAGGTAGTTTCTCTGTTGATCTCCTTATAGCCATAAAGGTTTCAGAGAGCTCTAGTCTGGCTATGCTGAACAAAAGAATTTATAGAGAATTCAGTGGACTTTGCTAGCACTATTTGAATGCTTAAGAGCTCATTCCTTACAAAGGTTAGATCTCCAACTTACAAGTCAGTTTATAAAGTATAGGCAAGTGGCACAGACCACAAAATATAAAAGATTAAACAAAACTGGAAAAATTAGGTGTACAATATCACCATCTCTTATGAATTACAGAAACAGTGATTCACTGCATGTATGTTCCAAGTATGCATTTATGTATTAACTTCACAAAGTTATGTATCTATATGTGTATGACTGGTTTGATATATTTGAAAAGGGTTTTTTTGTAAAAAGGAGGATTTTTTTTCATTTGCATTCCTTAGCAGCTTTCTAAGTTTACTCTGGAATTTGTGGATACCAGAATGTAGAGTTGCTTTGTGCAAACCCGCCTTCTTTAATTTTCTGTCTCCTATGTATATTATATAAGCATTGTGTAACATTATACTCCGTGGCACAGATTTTATTGTATACTGAAGCGCGAGCAACAGGAAAGCAAAATGGAAATGCGTGCATTGCTGCTCATGCAGTACTGACAAGGTACTTGTGGAGGCAGCAAGAGAGACTGTTTCAAGTTCATCTGGAAGTCCCATGTAATGAATCACCTCTTGCTTCAGAAGGCCTTTAACTTCATGCTAATAATTTTAAATTAAAAAAAAAAATAATCTGTTTTTCTCCGAGAAGTGGTACAGAGTGAATGATCATTCCAAAGGTCAGGAGTTGAGGTTGAAAGGTGGGATACAGGAGTTAATATAAAAGAGGTGAAAATGTATATGTGCTGTATAATAGTTGTGTTTGTAGTTGAAAACAGACAGGAATTCCCATGCACAATGGCAATCTATACACATGTTCAAACACTCTCATAATGTGTTGTACAGCTGCATTCTTTAGATGTTTGGGCACCCTCTTCTGAAGGAAAGAAAAAGAAGGGGGGGAGTGGAAGGACACCACACCAAACAAAAAAAATTAACCTAAAAAACAAAAAAGAAATAGCCAAATGGTCTTCAGAAATTCTCTGCTTGAAAAGATCCTGTAACATTACAATTCAAGGTGGGAGCTGCTACCAGCAGTTCTGAAAATACTGTTTTCTGTGGAGCTTTCTTAAAGCATCTTTCAAAGTATGTTAACCTTCTATACTGTAATATTAGTCTTGCTATGCTGTTGGGTTTTCATGGTACTTTGTATATTATCTGTACTTTATATCATACATAATTCAGTTTTTGTTTCCATTGAAAAGACTTTGGGTATTAAATGTAATAATGCTTCTGTTTGAAGAGCAGCTAGAATGGTATTTCTCACACAGGAGAAGGGAAGAATATTACACCTTTGTTTCCTAATGAACACTTGCTTTTTTGGCTATTTGAAAATTAAAGAGGAACCCAAAAGAACTGCAGCAGTAACAGCAGAAATTTGGAAAAGAGCAAGCCTGAAACTGCACACACATCCTAAAATGGAGGATGTGTATTTCATGAAGTAATTAATTTGATTATTAATCTAATCAAATCACCTAGATAAGAACAGAGTTTTGAGCACAACAGTGTGAAAGTCAGAGGGTTTGTATGAGCGGTAATTTCCAGTTAGTGTATTTCATAGTGATTCTTATAGGGCAAGTACTGTTCACAATATGACTTTCCATCAGTTAAACTAGGTTTTTTTAAGCTGAGCTTTTATAGTTTTACAGATAATAATACATGTGATTTATCAGTGTCCTGAAAATCCCATTTGTATGTATTACTTACTATTGTAATGGCTTATTGTATTATTAATTCAAATATATCTGTTATACTTGCTTCCAATACCATGTCATATTAGCAGTTTGATACTACTACTTTTGTGAAGTGCTATCAGGTGTTAGAATCCTCTACCGTTACAAACTTCCAGTGATGAAGATACTGATTCTTTTCTATTACTTAAGTCCCTTGTTACCCAAACATGGTACTAGCTATTCAGAAAAATATTTACCATTGAACTTTTTTATATATCTAGTGGCAGGTGTATACAACCCTTCACAAAGCTTGCTTCTTATGTGAACATATATATTATGAGTATGGATAATGTCCAATTTAACATTCATGACAACGCTGTCATGTAGTAAAGTGTCCAAGGTAAAGGATCACGATTATGTTATTTTCATAGAATCATGGAATGGTTTGGATTGGAAGGGACCTTAAAGATAATTAGTTCCACACCCCTGCCGCAGGCAGGGACACCTTCTGCCACACCAGATTGCTCAAAGCCCCGTCCAGCCTGGCCTTGAGCACTGCCAGGGATGGGGCAGCCACAGCTTCTCTGGGCAACCTGTGCCAGGGTCTCACCACCCTTCCAAGTATCTAATCTAAAACTTCCCTCTGTCAATTTAAAGCCATCCCATATCCCTGTATCCTGTCCCTACATGTTCTTGTAGAAAGCCCCTCTCCAGCTTTCTTGTCAGCCCCTTTAGTCACTGGAAAGTGCTCTGAAGTCTCCCTGGAGCCTTTTCTTCTCCAGGCTGAACAAGTCCAGCTGTCTCAGAATTCTTTCATTCTGTTCAGTTTGAAAAATCAAAGTTTATCCTTTAGCTGTTTTTCAAACATGCTGTAAAATGGAAGGCTTGAGCTGTGGTGTATCACAGAGTAGCATTGCCTCCATTAATACAATTTTAATGTAGGAGATGTAACGCATAAACTGAAGGTGGTTTGCTCATCATGTAAGTGTTTTGTGCTGTTTCTTCTGCTGTTATCCTTATGAAAGCTTCCCAGGTTTTAAACAGATAGTATTTCTTTTGTAGGCATTTGTATTTTTACGAAGTCTGATTAGGAGAGGAAGTATTTCAAGTACGTGCAGTCTTGAATTAAAAGTAAACACAGTTGTAAGGGAAAAGAGCTACAGTCTGCAGCATAATTGAATCTGTTTCATGAAAATAGAAATCTTGCCTCCCCATGTGCCAGTTTCACCATTAATGACATTCATTTTGTAAGTTCCTGAAATGGCAGTATTCCCCAATTTCATTATCAGATGTGTAAGTTCAGACATGGGAAATTTGGTCTAAACATGTATTATATTTGCCTTATTTCTAGAGATTCTGACAACTTGCTCCCTGACTAACTTCACATTGTCACATCTAAAAATCTATTTCATTGTGAATATGAATTATTTAGTAATAGAAAGTCTGGGTTTAGAGGGAATTTGCATTTAAGTTTCTTTTTTCTGATTGTATATAGGCATGCTTAATAAATTTGTATTTATAGAATTAATTTTCCTTGTGTCAAAATATAAGCTGTACTTTCTAATCAAACAAATGCTATATAAGGTTCTTGTTATGTAAAGATAAAAAATAAGCAAAAGGTGGCAATACTGACAAAGAAAAAGGAATTCATCCATTCATTTTCTTTACATTGATGTGTTTTAAATACCTTTTTTGTTTTTAAGCAGAAATGACTGAGCCAAATAATATGCAGAGTTAAGTGGGCTTACGTTTTGAGAACGCAAATGATGAAATATAGATGATATAATTTGTTTTCTTCTTGCTTGCGTTGTTTACACTGGTACTAACTGGTACCTGTGCAGTGGTGCCAGTAATTATATGCAGCAGTTTATATACAGACTGCTTAAAAGATTATCATTCTGGTCAATTTCAAGAGATCTGAAAGTTCCACTTAAGGAGCTTTAAATACCAGCTCAGCAGCCCTGTTGAGCACGTGCTGTATTCATTCCTGACTCAGCAGATTGCTGAAGTATGTGCTGCTTAAGAAAAGATTTAAAAGAAAGACCTTTTTCAGGACCAGTGAGTCAGCTGGCTAAAGCAAGCTCCAGATAAGTCTCATAGATTCATAATGCATAAATAAAGTTTGTCACTTTGCCCACCCCTTTTTCAAGGCCTTAAGCCTTTTAACTTAAGCATGTAGGGTGGCTCTTCTGAAATAGGAATGAATTTGACCAAGCCATCGGTAGCATTGTTGAACGGAGGCCTTAAATACTTTATCAAGAAATCTGAGGTGATGTGAAACATTTTTGTGTTGATGGCATCTATAAAAATTGTATCATGTGCACTAGGCAGCTTGGTATGTTAATGCATTCCAGGTGGTCTCAAAGGTGTAAAATACGTTTGTAAAATGTGAGTACAGAGTTGAAAGATTTCAACAACAGCGTTCATATTAATAATATGAAGAAAAAAAGGTTTTAAAAATACTAGTCTCCTTAATTTTGTTTTCATGAGCGTCAGGGTTTTGGTTTCTATTGCTGTGGACCCTCTAGAGAATTTACAATATATCCATATATATATGAGGGGGTGTATATAGCTAGACATTCGTTAATTCTTAGCTGGGTAGGTTAGTGTCTTATGGATGCAGTGAAAATTAGACTCCACGATAATGCATGTCTAGCAGTAAAGTAAAAGCGATGTTTAATAATTGCAGGTCTGGGTAATGTGGTTTGGTGTTCATACCTTCACTCAGGTGGAGCCAGAGAAGTTGAAGACACTAACAGAAGGTCTAGAAGCTTACAACCGAGCCAGAAAAAGGAACAGAAAGTAAGTAAATGCTTGTTTACTTAGTAGTGAAATGGAATAATTGAATTTTTTTGCTACCTAAGGCACTCATTTTGGGAAGCTTAGCAGATCGGTAAAACTGAAGAGTTAATTTTCTGAATTCCGTCTGTTGGTTATGGTAATCAACTCAGATCTTTGATACCTGCATTTTTATTGCATCTTTTGATATTTACAGTAGCCTTTGTAAAATGTCATCCTACTTGTTTGAGCTTTCATGTGTAGGATTTCTGATTTACAGCAAAAAAAAAAGTTATTACATCAGAACTATTCTGACCAAATATGGTTTTAACAAGATCTGCCCTTCTTCTCTCTTCCCTCTCCTTCCGGCAGCTGCTGCTGCAGGTAGAGCACAGGTTTATTCAGATAAATCCAGTTTATTTCCCATTGCTGAGAAGCATTTCAGAATTTGTGAAGTCTGGCTATATTTAACCAGACAGGGGGCTCAGTGCAGAGCTTTCCTAATGCTTTGTGCCAGGCATGTATGAATTATTTGGCTTTATCTTGCCTTTTAGTTTTTATTTACAAATATAGGAGGATAGAAAGACACTGAAAGAGTATGAGGACATGAAGCATCAGCATAGAGGAAAAGAGGAAAATGATTGGCTTTAGAAGCAAAAAAAATCTGGACAGCTATGAAAGGATAGCAAAGTAGAAATTGTACTATGATTGGATTTGTTCTAGGGTGCTGCTGCTTATTTACTGTTGCAGTGCCAAAAAATTACTTTGTGAGGATTTAAAGCCAGCTTGCAGTACTTGTCTTTAGCACAATAAACATAGGCTTAAAGAAATTAAATAATTATTTGTCTTCAGTTCCTTTTATGGTGTAAGATTTCATTTGAGTGTCATGCGGCTCTTAAGAGGAGTATTTTTTATGCCCATGAGACAATGTTGGTGGTTGTTTTCTCCAAGATCATCCTCAAAATAACTTGCTGGAGTTTAAGGGTGTGTGGTGAGAACACAGAAGGGCTTTTGGCAACTCCCCAGTTATTTGCTCATGTCCCTGAAGTGAAATACGTGACTCAAGTAAGGTGACACCAGGAACAAATTTAAAGAGGTGTTAAAGTTGAAATAGTACAATTTAAGAACTCCCATCTTCTGATTTGCATTCATATATTTAGCAGACTGCAGGGATTGTCTGCAATTCCACTGAATCCGATGGCCTTGTTTAGCAGCATGTCTGGTGCTGCCCCATTGCTTGCCCATAGGGAAACCAGAAGTACTTGATTATCCCAGCCAGTCTGGGGCACATGGTTGCCCCTTCCGTAGGGTTGCTTTACAGCCCTTAAAGTTTTTTCCTCTGTATTTCTACTTGTGCATATTTCACAGTTCAAAGCTTTTAGTATTTCTTCATGGACCCTTCCTTTTTTTCCTTTTCCTTTTTACCTTTTTATATCTGAAAATGTTACTAATCTCTTTGTAGTCTTTTTTCTGCTTTGTCTCTCTGGTTTCTTGTTACACACAATTCCAGTCGTTTTAAAACATTTAGCATTAGATATAATTGCTACACGTAGAATACTCCTGTTTCTGTTTCCTACTTATCTAAATATTTAGCACTTATACGTATCACCTACTGGCATCAAGTTGAACACTTTTTTACCTATGAAGACACAGGTAAAGAAGCACAGGACAAATTCAGCTGAGAGAGCATGAGCTAGCATTGCACAGGTCCCGTGTGTTCTGCAGGGCTGGGTTAGCATCCAAAGTCCTCAAAATGACATTCAGATTCCTTAACTCCGTTCCTCATATTCCTAACTTTCTTGTCTCAGCCCTGGTATATTTTTGAATTTTTTATCTTCACTGCATGGCCAATCTCCAATAATATATATTGATATTACATATTAAATATAACATTATTAAAACTTAATTAAAGATTTCAAATGTCTGCAAAGCTGAAAGCTGTATTATAATAGGGGTGTAATAGGATGGCATTCAAGTTGCACCTCAAATCCAGTACTTGTGAATTGTAAATCTTAATCTAACTTAAGAGCTAGTTTGTAGTGAACACACAAGCTAGAAATGGCTTGTGTATTCAGCTTTTTAGGGTTGTAAAAAAGACACCAGACAAAACAAAAAGTCATTGTAGCACTTTTCACCAGCATAGGCAATGTGTTACCCTTGTTGAGCTTTGTAACTTCAACTAGTAATGGAATCTAAAACATTTTCTGTCGAAAAAAAATGTTCTGCTTGGGGATGTCTTGGAAGCATCTCCTCTGAGACATGTGCAGAAGTGGTGAGAAGTGGTGTGACTTCTTAACTGTCCTATTTATTCTGGGGGTTGTAGGAAGATGCACTCTAGTACAAACCACTGAGCCATTCCCACCTTTCTCAGCTCCATCTCATCTCAGCCATTCCATTCCTGTTTGAGCCATATCCCTTTCTTGCTTCCAGCAGGTCATGACGTAGCAGCTTCCTCACCTATCCAGTTGTGGTCTCCAGAAGACTGTGTTCCCAGTTTTCCCTTATCAGAGCCTTGTCTGATCCAGTCTTTGTTTTCCCCAAGTTTTGTAGGTATCTGGATTCCTCTGTTCACTAGCATTCTCCTATCACACTGCACGCAGAGGATCTCCCAAGGGTCATAACCCAATGCTGTGTCTCCTTCTTCTGCCTTTTTGTGTTTCTCTGTGTATTATTTCCCACACCAGGGTTCTCTTTTATCGGGAACGTGCCCTTTGCCATCCCTACCATTACCATCTCTACTATCCATGCTAAGTTATTTCAAAATGAAATTTGGGCAGCGGCATCTTAGGGTTGAAGTTACGTCTCTGATATTACTCCTGTTGAATGTGTGCCATATTCAGTCTCCATCCTGACACAGTCTAAGTCTCTTTGTCCTCTCTAGGTGTGAGTCTAGTAGCAGCTTGCCCTATACTATTAAAAGTCAAGTGAGGTGGGTGCGCTTAGACGTCATTATTGCTGAGGAGCTGCCCAGAGGCAGCGATTGCAGGTGAAGTCTGGAATATGTCTACTATAGGAGGGAGCTTCAACTCCAGACAGGCTCAGACTTCATTCTGATTTTATGATTTGGTAAAATTTTAAATTTTAATGCATCCTAGGAGGGGGGAGGAGGAGGATTAACAGAATGCTTTTTACAAAACAGTTATCTTCCCTTCTTCAAAGCTGTTGGCCATGGGAGGTTTTCTAAGATACGTTGTGCTGCTTTTTAATGAGAGGAACAAACTGTCACTCCATGTTCTTAAATGTAATTTGATTCTTACAGGTTGGTTTGGTTTGCGCCACTAGAGACATGATGCATATGTTGATCAGGTAGCAAATTCTCAGGTTTTAGCTGCAGTGTTTTTTCTGCGGTAAATGGGTATTTCAGTGACACAGACTCTTCTGAAACTTTGATTTGCTATGGGGGCATTGTCTTGACAATAAAATTAAGATAACAACAGAGTCTTAAAACTACACTGCAAATGATCATGTGTATTTTAAATACTTTCAAATGGCTTTTTTGACTCAGCAGGAATTTCATAAATATTTTAATAAGGGTGGGTTGCTGATAGAGCATAATGTTGATTAGATAACTTTACATCACATACGGGTAGTTTGACATCTGAAATCTGCTTCTAGGTGACATACAAGTCAGCAATGCTATTAGTTATTAAGGTATCTGTTATCTGTTAAGGTATCAGTTACTAAGATACAGTCATATAGCCTTTATAGGAACTTTAGTTGCCACTGAACAATATTATGTGTCATTTATAAGATCGAAGAGTGCCTTCACTTGCCCAAGTTGCGTAACTTAAATATATTTTTGGCAAGCAGTCTAGCCCAAGTAGTTAAAATACCCAGGTGGGCATGTCAGGCTGGGTATGCAAATTTTGATTTCAGTTTATCTTGCCATTTCTTTGGCTGATTTAAACTACATTGCAGTACATGATTCGAAAGTTGCACCATACTCAGTAAGGTTTCTAGCTTTTTTAATTCTTTTGTGCAGTTGATGCCGTGGTATAGCTCAGATAACCAATGCAAATTGGTGTTAGGGAATATCCTCTTTGAATAATGAAAAACAGACCCTCTGATCTCCTGTCTTCAATTCTCCCAGCTGTACTGATGGATATGAAAATAATTTTGCTGATCTAGGAGGGTGGAATTGCTGTACAGCAGTGCTGGTCATGTAGTTCATCTGTGCTACTTCCTTGTCAGTCTTTTTGCCAATGCTTGTAGTTGCTATAAATCTTCAAGTCAAATTCAAGGGAAGAATGTCCCAGCTGACATGATGAGTTTGCTTTCCTTATTAAAAGGAAAGGGGCTTTTTAGAAAGTGTCTTCTTCTGTGATGGACAGTCTTCCCTCATGATGCAGATGGCTCTCTTCTTCCTCCCCTCATTTCCGCATCTCCCGAGCAGAGATAACAGTACTCTCTTACTTCCTGATGATCTTGTGATGGATGCTCATAATAATGTCCCTCATCTCCAGGATGATTTCTCTCTTGTTTCATATTCAGCCATTTGTCTTCAAGGTCATTACTCTTATAAATGTACTTACTCAGTTAAAGCCATGAATGAACCTATCTATCTGTCTATCTCTGTGTATATATACCTGCTTTTAAGCAGAGATCTGTAACAAGGTGACGGTGAACAATATTAACTTGTGCTCAAGTACGATTTGCTACCTTGAAACTCTTGAGGTGTGAAGATGGAGCCACAGAAGCATAACCTGTCACGGACAGCATGGTCTTTAAGCAGGAAACTTCTTTAAAGAAGAAATATACATAAATCAAAAATGTCACTGTACAGTTAGATGCGTGTGGAGCTGCCCAGTGACTTGGGGTAACTTTGGGGTTGGAAGAAGAAAGTCTTCATCCTGCCTTTACCATAACCCTCGGTGTGCTGTCATTCTGAAACTAGCTGTCGTTCTAAAACTGTCATAGTAAAACCAGCAACGTTTTAGAGGATTCTTGCGACTTATTTTCCTCTGGCTATTTAACGTTAGAAGGGGTATTTCACTTTGAGCTTTTTGTTTTGAGTAAAAAGACTTTTCAGCTCACACAGTGTTTTCTCAGGAAGACAGCAGTGTATGTATTTAGTCCTTCACAAAAGTATTGCCAAAATGTAATGACATTTACAGAGTAAATGCAGCATGGAGCGGAAGTAGGCAAGCTGGCACTAAAGGTTTAATAACTTTTGAAGTCCAGAGTATTCCTCTTCTGCTCCTGATCAAGACCCATGCAAGTCTGGCCCTTTGCTAATGATGAAAAGAAAAAGATTGCACAAAATGCCTCGTTACCAGGAAGTGCTCTGGCTTTTTATTCATGGGTGTAATTGACTTGTGGATATTGTAAATAACCGTCCAACTTACTGAAGTGCTGGCTTTAATTTTTCTTCCTTAACTACAACACAAGCCTTTAGTTTGCATAATATGGTCTGTAGATCTGACCTTGCTTACTTATGCTATAACAACCTGGAGGCTCTACAGTTAGTAGAATGTGTCCAGTGAGTTAATGTGTTTATTGGGGTTTTTAAATCTACTGAATTTTTTCTCAGTTACTAAGAATTATTAATGGTGTTATTTTTTTTCTTCCTAGAAGTGGAAAGCTAAATAATCATTTAGAAGCTGCTATACATGAGGCCATGAGTGAACTAGACAAAATGTCTGGGAATGTAAGTTTCTTTTCACATTAGCACTAATCTCCTTTTTCTGTGTTTCTGCGTGTGAAGACTGGGAGTGTTGGTTTGGATTGCTTTCTAACATATATTTGGTTTCTGTTTTCTTAAATGACAAGGAAATTTCAGTATTTCTCCTGCATTAAAACTGTTTGCAAATGTCTAATCATTCTGAAAAGAATGGGGAAAATTGTGGGATTTTTGTTGCATTGCCAATTATATTATTTTTCACAAAAAGATTCCTGGGCATACCTTTACACATGCAGCCTGATAATATTTGGATTAGTTCCAGTCCTCCTATTCCAGGAGTTTTCTCTGACTAGTGACACAAAATCAAGCTCATTTGTTTTCTGTTTGAGTAGCAAGATATTGAAACCGCATTTAAAAGCATCATTCTTTTGAATGTAAAACTCTTTGAATAGTTTTCCTCATGTGAAATGAAAGATCCTGTCAGGAAAGGTAAGTTAAAAAAAAAAGTATTCCTGATATCAAATCTAAGAGTGTTTTTTCTACAGTAATTACACTGTTATTTGTAAGTCCTAAGTCTGTCTGATGTAAAATGTGGTTTATATAATATCCTCATCTTCATACTTAAAACTTGATTGTAATTTTATTGAAGCACACTTAGAAATGCAAAATTTTTATCACAGCACATGAAACCTCCCCTATCTTACCAATAGTAATTTCTCAAATTATTAATTATAACACATTTGAATACAGAAATTGCATTTTCCTGATATTCAGATGCTTGTATATGTGCATATTTAGAAATAGTAGTAAAACCACAGGGGAGCTTCTGGAGTGTATAAAGGGAAATGTATACAGAACTGGAGGCTTAGAGCTGATTTCAGAACCACCGAGAAATGTTAAATAAGTTACGCAGTAGTTTTTAATGGCTGCTCTAAGTAATAATAAAAGCAATCTTTTGTTTAAACTGAGTTTTACAGAATGAGATAGGGTTTTGATGTAAAACAGTGTGCATTTTCCTCTTGTCTTTGGAAGAAATAGGAAAGCAGTATCTGATTGTAGGTCTGTTACAAATAAATGTGGGGTATGTGTTTGGCACACACATCTCCTGTGTCGATTACACCACCACTGACGTGTTTGGGCTCTAACATTCTAACTTTTTTTCATTTATAAAGCCAGTGATACTATAAACTGTATGGTGTGTGCATTTTAACCATGATAGAACTGGCTCAAGGAAAACTGCTGTAATTGGATTTTCTCATCTGGTTGTTTCATAATGCAGACAAGCTGATGTACCAGCCTGAGTGTCATTACCTACTCTTGGTTTATATTTAAATTATCTGCTCACAAAAATTTGTGACCAGAGTTTATTTCTCTAACGACTATGATTCCTAGAAGCACTCCTAGGGAATCTGTGGTTCTCTTTTTAGCGACTTGCATTTTTTTTCAGCTACTACTGTTCGGATACCTGTTACATTTTAAGTGAAAAGCATGTGCAAACAAAATCATTAGCTCAGAATTATTTCTACTCGTAAGAGCAAATAAACATGTAGTAAATGTTACTGGTCTGAAGGAATCAGGACGGACCCAGGGAAATAATATAGCACCTTGCTGAAGGATTTGCTGCTGTTGCTTGCCTGCTGTTGGAAAGCTGCAGACTGCTCTTCCCAGAACAGCAGCTGGCTTCCACCGACAGATGGTGGTGGTATTCCACACTCAGCGCCTTCCTCCACGGCTCTTCTTCCAATTAAGTTGTGATTTTTACTGAGCAGACAGTGATGAAAAACTGTTTCACACTCAAACTAATCTAGCATTTAGCTTGAATTGAGTATTTCCTTTTAAAAATTAAATGAAGACAGTTTGCTAAACATAGCTTGTTTCATAATAACGCTACCATGGACCCAAATTTCACTCCTTTTATTTTCTCTGTTAGCAATATTTTCTCACCACCTACTTCCTACTCTATTGCTCTTGTCATGAATCTGTGTAAAGGTTTGTTTCCAAGAATTTGACATAATTTCAGTTCTGGGTTCCAGTCCCACTTACACGCTTTCACAATTACTGTAGCTGGAACCTTTCTCCAGGGTAGCCAAGGTTCAAGGCACACAGGTTGCAGCATCAACCTTTTTCTCTCTACTGCCTTAAAGTTCTTGAAGTTCCCCATAACTTGGGCTTCCATGTATACCTGAAGTGTAATAAGAACTGTTTCGTAACAACATCTCAAGCAATCCTGTAGCTCATTTATTACTGGCTGGTTACTTTGACCAATATTCTTTGCTAACTTCTAAATATACTTATTTTTAGGTCCACCAAATCCCACAGGGAGACAGACAAGTGAAGCCTCCAAAACCCAAGAGGAGGAAGATCTCTAGATAACATTGAATGTCTTTGTTACTGGTCCAGTACTTATCAAAATGAACATGCACATAGGTCCATATGTAGGTATTGATATAGACATGGTTATATCAATATTTATATGAAGACAGATAGATACCATCACAGGGTGCTACATGGATTAGTGGTACAATATTTTTGATGATTAGGAGGGATAGTGGTTGCTGGATAAGCCAATCAGAAATCTTGAAAGGTTGCAGTAACAATGTCAGATGATTACTGATTTTTTTTTTTTTCTATAATACTAAAATTGTGATTATAAGGAATAGTCCAAATGTTTCTGAGAAATTTTCATTGTGTATATAGATAATACAGAATTTCATGGTGATATCTGAAATGTAAATATTGTACAATATTGTCATGTACAAGCGTACCTAATGCACACTTTATCTTTTATTGTACAAAAAATAGTGTACAAAATTCTTTGGTTTCTATTGAGTACACATACAAGAGACTACCAGTGTAAAGTGATAAATAAAAATACAGCCTAAATGCTTTTATATGATAATGTAAAAGATGCTGTTTTTGTATTTAACAGCAGAGAGAAGGCATGATTATGTAATACCTTAATTATGACATACACTTCACGCCACTGAGTGTTCATTGATACTGTCTGTTTGGAATGAACCTTGCCTGGAAGTACTGTACTCCATTTCAGGTCTCTGTAGGAGAGTGCAAACTTGCAGATTCCTAACGGGATGTGGGATCACAGCTCTAATTATTAATTCAAAGGCTGCAACTGTCGGTTGCATTTTTATTTACGTAGCTTTTAAAGTAGAATGCTTAAAATAGATTTTATTAAAAAGAGAAAAAAGTAGATGGACTATTTTAGTCAACCATTTCTGTAGTTAAAGTTTCATAGCCACCTGAGAAACTAAACAGTTTATATCCCCCGTAACACTGACCCCTCAAAACCCCTAGATTTATTAGCTTAAATTATCTAACGTCATTAACCATCGTGTTTACTTTTAAGGGGGCAGATGCCCTGCTTTAATAATGTGATCAGTATTGATTACGGTTTGGTTTTGCAGTAGAGTGAAAGGGCATGCTCCGCAGCGTTCATGAAAGTAATTCCAGTACCCATCTTACAGTATTAAAACAAAAAAGAATTAAGGGTGGCTTACAAAACTATTAGCAACAGTAATTTTTATCAGTATTATGTAACATATCAGATTTATTTTATTTAAAAAGAATTATTTATACCATTAACAGATTCTTATATATATTAATGTGGCTGAAATGTGCAGGTTAAATCTATTAACCAAATTATTTATGTTATATTAAGTGAGAAATGTGAAACATATGTAGAAAAAATTAATACACTACAGATTTAAAAGTCTAAAGCTATGAGCCATTATAAAATTAACGAATGGAAGTATAGCACAACATTATTTCCATTTTATTTCATTTTCTTTTTATCACGGATGGTGGTGATGGTGATGGAAGCAGTGACATCCTCTGACTTCAAGGCTTCCTGAAATAATTCCCATTTCACCATTCCTGGTCCTGGGGTAGCATGCGTAACCCCCACCTCTTAGTCTGGGGCCACCACTTACCTCACATTTCCTTTTTTCCCCCCTCCCTGAATTCCCAAATCTCACTCTCTAGCTAAGGACTGGCAGGGATCAGCATCCTGGGAAGCTGGCGGTATTGCCACTCTCCAGACACCCGGCACTCAGCGTCAGGATCACAAGTCATTGCTCCTCTTCCCATCCCCCTTGCCCAAGTCCCAGACTCCTCTCTCTGAAGGACATGACCGAGACCAGCCATCCCCGAGGATGAGGGGACTTGCCAGGGCATGCAGCACTACCTCTGGGCTCGTCCCTGGGCTTTCTCATGTCTGGCAGAACAAATCCCACTCCTCCTTCCCCCCAGCCCGAGGGATCACAATAGCTGCACTGGCTACAGGGGCCTGGAGGCAGGAGCCCTTCCTTCCATGGGGTAGGTTCATTTGTCTTTTCTGTAACGCCACCATCCTCCATGCAAGCTCATGTGAAGTGACTGATTTTCTTTACTATTTTTCTCAACTTCTGTCTTTCGGGGGTGTAGTTTAGCTCACGTTTTTCTGTCCCACGTTGACGTGTTCGTTCAAAGAGTCACTGTTGGCCATTGTCTATGCCAGCCGCTTTCCCACTGTCTCTCCACACCCGCGTGGGTTTTAACTCACCACTACATGCGTGCGTGCGTGTGTGTGTGTGTGCGCATGTGCGAGCGCCTGTCTTGATTTAGGTTCTTCCTCCCTTTGCTTTCTGTCCTAGAACCAAGTTTGTATTGACCGACCCCTTCTTTTGGCATTTTAACTAATTAGGTTTGTACTTCCTCACCAATGTATACTTTACATCAGTAGACTATGTAAAGTATTTTTGTGCACTTGATTTCATTGGTTAATAATGGCATTGATGTGGGTGCTAGGAGTAGTTTGCTTCAGTCCATACCAATTTTTTTTCTCTTTTAGAGTTTTTATGGTTTCATGTAAGCAGTTAATGTAAATATTGTGAGCATTACAGGTCATGCAGTGTTGTAACATTTTAAGAAATGTTGCACCTACTTTACGATTAAAAAACTGGTCACTCATACTTGAATTTTGCCCATAGAGCCATTTCTTTCTCTTTGCATTGAAGCATAATATACTTTTTTGATGGAGGCCCAACCCTTCTTTCTACCTTATTATTTTTGGTTTAATAAATCTATATTTTTTCTAATAGAAGACTTAAAAATGAAAATTTAAAAAGTACTTTTTGCCTACTTTCTAATTTAAGAGAGAATTCCTATATTTAAAAGGTAAAAAAAAGAAAAAAATACTCCATTGTGGAAAGTGGAACAACACTTTATATGTCATTAATATGGCACAATCACACGAACCTGAACTGGCTGAGTAAAGTGAGCCCATGATGTCAAGCAGTATCTCAGTAGATTAGGGAATGACGTGATTCTTTGAGGATGTAAAGTGTTACATATTCTTGTCTATTTATTTATTTATTTATTATGCTTTCTTTTGCTAAGTGGGTGACAATGTGGTTGAGTCATTCAGATGACATTCAAATTAAAGGAAATATTCCTCTTTCTATTATGGTGCATTTTGTGAACACCATAAAAAAATATTTTCATTTATTTCAATGGATTTTCTTCATATTCAGAAAATGTTTGGCTGGTATCAACTGCAAAAGCAATATCCACATAGCTTAAACAGAAAAACTTGCAAAAATCAAAAAAACCCCGACCCACCTCTGATGTCCCAGGTCTGTTCTCCTCACGGTCTAAGGTTTTAGGGGTTAAAATTTAAAGGTATTTCCTAAATCAGCTCTGCAGAAGGTTTCTAAGTAATGTGATATCCTTTTGGAGTCCCTGAGTTTGATGGTATAGAGATGTTAGAGGGCTCATGGTGGACTGAATTACCTTAGGACTGCTACCTTTCTTAGCTACAGTTTGTATTTTGCTATGTAGGGTTGTAATGTGAGAATTCCAGAAGAGCCGTAGCATAAAAGTGCTTTTCTACTTTTAAAAAAAAAAAAAACCCATTCTAGTCTTACTAAGAATTAGAGATTTTTTTAATATCAGTTTTGTAATTTTTGATAAAGTTGTCAATATTATGATTAAATCACCAGAAAAAAAAGTTACTGTGATGTTCTCTTCGGGGCAGGGCCTATGTCTTCCTGTGTATTTGTAAGATGCCACAATGGGGTGCCCAGTCTTAAATGGGGCCATGGGCACCACTATCAAATTAGGTAGCAACCAACAACGCTGAGGTTGATTTCAATGCATAAAAGCCAAGAGAATTCACAGATAAGACTGCAAATCCTTAGTTTGCCTGCTGCGTCCTCCGGGAAGGCAATACCATCGGCTGTGACATCCGAAGGGTAAGTTGGGGAAGCCAGTGGCCATCAAAGCTTTTGCTTGCGCAACCCAGGACCTTCTCATCGAAGTCAAAACAGACCCGCTCCGACAACATGGCTGTTGGTCCCCTCCCTCCCTCTGCTGTTTTTACCAGTATTAGCTGAGAAACTTCGTATTTCAGGATTCCCCAAAAAAATACCTAGTGGTGTAAGCACATTATTGATTTACAAAATCCCAAACGCATAAACAGCATTTAGTTCACAATCTGGTGCAAGCACAGTTCACACTGGTGTTGAATCAGCTCTGGAAAAACACTTTGAGACTTTAAAAAAAAAAAAAAAAACAGAAAATAAATGTGTTTGCCCCCAAATCACAAGCCCAGGGACTTTCTGGGGGCACTGGGAGCCCCCACTCCACCATGCTGAGCATCTCTGCCCTAATGCTGCCCTTTGGCCTGGTTTTTGTGCCTGTGCACTACCGGGGATGAGAAGGCTCACTGTAAAAGACAGGCACGTTTGCCTGTCTCCTACAGTATTGCTCAAATGCAGCGGTTACAGCAGGGGCTGGTGGTGCATCACTGCAGCTGCAACACTACCCAAACATATGTACCCCAAAAAGTCCCACCAGCTTCCTGGCCAACCCTGTGTTGGAAGCCGTTGTTTCAACTGGGATGGTAATCCATTCTGTTTATTTAGCATTTGAAAGCTGAGCAGAGGGAAGTCAGGCCTCCATAGCTCATTTCTCTGACAGGTTCAGCAATTCATTGTCTCTTAGGAGAAAAAAAAAAAAACACCAGAGGTTTGAAATACTCCCTTCAAAACCCATTATGGAGAGATTTAATCACTCACATTTTTACTGTTGCGAGAAAGGTGTTTGTAGTTGAGTGCCATCCCAGCAGAAGATAAGGGGTTAGGATTTAGAGCAGAAATACATGTATATGTATACATCCTGGAAATTCCTATTTTGGAAAACATGGGGGAAATGGGAAGGGTTTTGACGTGCTTACCCAGGCCAAAGAAGAGTGGAGAGGCAGAGTGAGAGTGTCCCCACGCATTCCTGCGTACAAACCCTGAGAAAGCATTAGCACAGGTCACCACGAGTCAAAGAGAATGAGTGCGCACCCACAGAATCCACCAGCGTTTCAGGATGACTGACAAAAATCAGTGCCAATGTGTGAGCAAACTGAGCCTGAGCCACCGCTTGAGCCCGGCTTTGAGCAGTGCTGCCCCAGGTACGGTATGGGATGGGAGATCAAAGGCTGTTACAGCCATGTCTACATCCAGGTCCAGTGGCGCAGAGCATTCCCAGGTGAGTCCCGTGGGTGTTAATGATTTCACTTTGCTGATGATGTTAATACCTACTATTTAAATCTCTTATTTAAACCCAGTGATGGTGGGAGACTACAGATGAGGAGATGAGGAAGAATAAGCATTCTTGCCCTGAGGAAATGTCAAGGGACCAAAATTAAGGCTACATTGCAAAACAAACAAAAAAATGCTAAGATATTTTAAGGTCCTTTCCAACCCTAACCATTATGATTCTATATAATAGATATAATGTACTTAGAGCATGTGAACTGTGAACCTCAGCGGCAGGGAGTTGCAGCGTCTGTGCTATGAGGAGCCACCAACTTTTCAGACAGAAAACAGGTTTACCGAATAGACTT